AGAGTACCTATGGCATGTCTGTCTCTCTGCTAGTACCACACAGTCTTGGCTACTATAGTCAAATCTTGGGGATCATTTTCACTGATCCCTCCTGCTCTAGTTTTATATTGGTAAGATTTAGTTAGTTATTCTAAGTCCTTTCTCTTTCCATATAAATTTTAAAGTTTGTCTATATCTGAAAAATCCTTGCTGGGAATTTGGTTGGAATTGCCTTACACCTATAGGCCACTTTGTCATCTTTAAAGCATCATTGAATCCAAGAATACGCTACATCTCTCCATTTCCTTAGGACCTATCTAATTTCTTTCATCAATGTGGTAAATGGTATTCTGTTTTAATTTTGGCTTCCACCTGTCATTGTAGTATATGGAAAAGTTGCCAGACATGGCAGCCCATGTCTGTAAATTGGGAAGTGGAGGCAGGAGAATCATTATTCAAGGCCAACTCTGCAAAAGTTAGCAAGATCTTATCTCAAAAGGAAGACATAAACAAAAGGACTGGGAGGATGGCTCAGGTAGCAGAGTACTTGCCTAGTGTACTCAAAGCCTGTGTTCAATCCCTTGCAGTAGAATAGAAATGCTATTGATTTTTTTCATATATTGATCTTGACTCTTGCTACCTTTGTACTATTCCTTAGTATATTCTCTGTGGACAATCAGTTATGAAAATAGAGACAATTTTTAATTCCTTTCCAATCTATATTCTTCTGAATTCTATTTCTTGCCTTATTGCACTGGCAAGCATTTCTGGTATGAAGTACTTCCCAGTATGGGGAAAGCATTCTTTCCAGTGTTACACCACTAATTGTGATGTTAGCTGTAGGGTTTTGTAGCTTTTCCTTACAAGCTGGAGAAGTTTCCCACTGAGCCCTTACCATTTTACCGTGAGCAAGTACTGGGTTTTGTCAAATGATATGATCACATTTTTTTGCACTTTTACCGAAGTTAATATGATAGATTAGATGAATGATTTTTAAAATAATTGAAGCTGAAAAAAAAACTTTGCATATCTAGTATAAGTGGTTATGGTAGATAAGTCTAGCTTTCATGTTTAGTGTCCAGGATGTGAGATGCTGATCTGTGCTTTTCTTGTTTGTATCATCTTCACCTGGCTTTGATATCAAGATAATAGTAGCCTCACACAGAGTCCAGAAGTGTTCTCCTCCTCTTTTCCTTTCTGAAGGAGATTGTATGTTCTTACTAGTTCTTTAAGTGCTCTGTACTAAAGTGAAACACTGCAATCATCTGGACCTGAAGAAGTCTTTTTCGGGAAATTTTAAACTGAATTCAGATTTTATGTTCATTATTCAGATTATGTTCATTTTGGCTGAGCTTTAGTCATCTTGGATTTTTTTTTTTTTTTTTTTTGGTTTGTCATGGGGCCTGAACTCTTGGCCTAGGTGCTCTCCCTTAGCTATTCAGCTCAAGGCTAGCACTTTACCACTTGAGAGACAATGCCACTTGCAGCTTTTTCTGCTTATGTGGTGCTGAGGAATTGAACCCAGGGCCTCATGCATGCAAGGCAAGCACTCTACCATTGAGCCACCTTCCCAGCCCCTCCTCTTGGATTTTCAAGAAGGTGTTCTATTTCTAGTTTTCAGAAGCAACAGGGCAACATGGTTTGTAGTGGTCCCTACTAAATCTACAGAGATGATCTCTTTGTTTCTGATAATGGTCATTTCTATCTTTTCTCTTTTCATCTTTGTTAATATTGCTAGAAATTTATTGATTTTACTGATTTTTCCCATGAGAGTCACTTTAAAGAATCAATCAATCAATCAATCAATTTATCTATCTATTTATCTACCTATCTATCTAAATTGGTGGTACTGGGGTTTGAACCTAGGACCTGTGCTTGCCAGGCAGGTGCTCTACCATTTGAGCCATACCCAAGCCCTTTTTGCTTTTAGTTTGCTTTTCACATAGAGTCTTATACCAGGCTGACCTCCTTTATCAATCCTTCTATGTTCACCTCCTGAGTAGCTGGGATCACAAGTATGTACCCACCATGCCCAGCTTGTTTCTGAAATAGGGTCTTGCTAACTTTTGCCTGGGGTTCCCTCCAATCATGATAATCCTATTGCTACATTCCAAATAGTTGAGATCACAGATATGAGCCACCACATCCAGCACAATTATATTTCTATTGTTTTCTGTTTCCACTTTATTGCTGTCTGTGCATATCATTCTTTCCTTCTTTCTACATAGTTTGGGTTTTTTGCTCTAGTTTTTTCTAGTTCCTTGAAGTAGGAATATAGATTATTCATTCAAGATCTTTTGTAAGATAGTGTTCAGTGTCATGAATTTCTCCCTTAGCATTGGCTTCAGCTGCAACTCCATACCACATTGTTGTTACTTCACTATTGTATCACATACATATTTATAGTAATATATGCATGTATATTCCTTTAATCCCTTATTTCTTGTTTTAGCTTTCTTGCCATCTTATGGGTTAATCATTTTACCTTCTTATGGGTTACTTAGACATTAGTGTTCAATTTCTGACTTACTAAAACTTTTTTTTTGGTCGGTTGTGGGGCTTACACTCTGGGCCTGGGCACTGTCCCTCAGCTCTTCAGCTCAAGGCTAGTGCTCTACTGCTTGAGCCACAGTGCCACTTCTGGTTTTCTGGTGGCTTATTGGAGATAAGAGTCTCTCAAACTTTCCTGCCTGGGCTGGCTTTGAACCATGATCCTCAGATCTCAGCCTTCTGAGTAATTAGGATAACAGTTATGACTCACCAGTGCCTGGTTTATTAAAACTTTTATATATCCCTTTGTGCAACTTTCTCAGTGGCTGCATAAATATACTTACATAATTTATCATAGTCAATGAATAAGTATGCCTCACCATTCCACGTGATATGTAGAAGCTTTCCATTTTGGTTCCTCTACCTCTTTACTTTTAAATACAATTATACAAGTATTCCTTTAAGTACCTTTGTCACATCAGATGGGGTAGTAATTTTGCTTCAGTCATCAAGGACAATTTAAGAATTTCGTGAGAAGGATAATCTATCATTTTTATCTATTCCTTAGTTCTTCTTTTCTGAAGTCCTAAACTTGCTTCTGCTTTTCATTTCCCTTTAGCTTTCCTATAAGAGTACTAGTGGCTCATGCCTATAATCATAGCTACTCAGAAGGCTGAGATCTGACAATTATAGTTCAGAGGCAGCCCAGGCAACAAATCCACTAGACTCTTCCTCAATTAACAAGCAAAAAGTTGGAATGGAAACATAGCTCAAGTGGTAGAGTACCATGTAAGCAAAAAAGGCAAGCAAAAGCATGAGACTCTGCATTCAAAACATGGTTCTAGCACAAAAAATGAAGTAAGATCAACCAGTGATAAGTTCTCTTAGCTCTTCCTTATGTTATTATGCTATTATTTTCCTGAAAGTTATATTTACCAAACAACTTGTGATTGAGGGTTGTTTACTTTCAGTACTTAGAAAATGTACTACTTCCTCCTGGCCTCCATAGTTTCAGGTGGGAAATCTGCTGTCTCTTGTATTGTTGTTACCCATAACTAATCCATAAATCTTCTCTGCTATTTTCAAGATGACTAATTTATTTTTTAGTTTAGGTTTCAGAAGTTTAATTATGATGTGTTTTGGAGTGGAGTTCTTTGATTTACTCTATTTGAGGCTCACTTAGCATGTTAAATCTGGGGAGATTTTTAGCTCTTACTTCTTAGAACTCAAGTGACTTTGAAGTTCATTTTACTCAGAGTAGGGTCCAGGAGCTCCAGAATCCTTCAAATGGTACACAGAATACTGTAAGCTGCTCATCTTTCTTAAGAAAATTCCCAAGACATTCCATACTTGCTGTAAGGTTAAAAAAAAAAAAGTGAAAAGAAACTAATTGTATCTTCTCTTCCCTTGTACCACATCTGCTAAATTTCAGTGGTCCAAAGATATCATCAATAGTTTTAGAAAGTATGATCATTCAAGTGAATATTTTCTGAGTTCCTAATAAGTTGCAGATAAATACATTTTAATTTTTCCTTAGTGAGAAGGTGAAGAATTAAACATAAAATCAACATCATTTCTGGCTTATGAAAAGTCCTGAGTAAGAATGCTTCTGGAAAGGCAGATTTAATGGATGCTTTCCCCTTCCAACTTGCTCTCTGCTTGTATACTAGGTAGGAATGTGCAGTACATGATGAGCCCATCCATCCTTACAATGTTCTGCCCAGTTGCTCATCAGCCACTCATTGTGCTCCCTGGGAAGGCTTGGCCTTGCCAGTGCGCAGGATGTCTCCTCTGCCTGGCACACTCTCATCTCTTCTGGACTAATTCCACCCATTGTCAGAAATGTGTTTGGGTTGCATTGTCTCTAGGAAGTTTCATTTTCTCTGCTCGGAGCATTAAGTCGAGCTCTCCAATGTGATTTCCTCTTGGTCCCTCCTCTCAGACCATGAGAGCCTTGAAGGTTGGAATGGGGTTGTAGTTGCTTTAGGCCCCAGTATGGTCATAAACAGAAGCTCTCTATATAAGCACTGTCCCTTGTCATAGCTTACCACCACCAGCTCTCTGGCCGAGCCTTTCCTCCATTTCTTTCTTCACTCCCTGAGTATCTGCTAAGCTTCTTCATAGGAAGTTGGGGAAAGTAGATACCCAGGCTTTCCCCAGCGGTTTAAATAATCTTGTCCTCACAAACATCCATTTATTCATTTGCTCTAGGCTATTTTAGGTGATTGTTCTTCAGTTGATGGAATGCCTACCTTATGGACTCCTTGCAATTACATTAGTTTCTGAGTCTCCAGGGCAGGGTATAAGGAAGCATTCCTCCTATGTTAGGGGAAAGAATTTGATGTAAGCTCCCCATAGTACCACTGGGTCCATGAGACATGGTTTCTTCATCTTTTCTACATCTTTACTTCCGATTTTTTTAGTCTTTATTCTAATCTAAGCTGCCTCCATAGTTTTTTTGGGGGGGGGAAGAGTTGAAAAGCAAGATGAATAAAGGCAACTTGTCTTAGTCTTCTTTTCATTGCTCCCAGGTACTATCTTGGTCGTCAGATGTATATTGTCATCTCTGAGCCGGACATGATCAAGCAAGTGCTGGTTGAGAACTTCAGTAACTTTACCAACAGAATGGTATGTAGTCTTCTCTCTGTGTGATGCTTTAGCTTCCTTCTTTTCTCTTTCTTTTTCTTCTTCCTTCTTTCTTCCCTCCCTCCCTCCTTCCCTTTCTTCCTTCCTTCCTCCCTCCCTTTCTCCCTCCTTTCTTTCCTTCCTTCCTTCTATCCTTCCTTCCTTCCTTCTTTTCTCCTCCTCTCTCTCTCTCTCTCTCTCCACACACAAACACACACACACATACACACACATTTACACTGATACTGAGGCTTAAATTCAGGGTCTCACACTCTTGCTCACTCATCTTGCTTGCTCACAGCTGATACTCTACTACTTGAGCCACATCTTCAGTCCAGCATTTTGCTTGTTAATTGGAGTTATCCTCTTGTAGGCTTTTCTGCCTAGACTGGCTTCAAACCACAATCCTCCAGATCTCAGCCTTCTGAGTAGCTAGGATTCTGTGTGTGGATTCTAAGTGAAAAGAGGCTGCCAGGCTATGTAAGAGGGGAGTGATGGATTCTCTTATCAGCTTGAGGACCAATTCCATTCAAACTTGAGCTCCTCAGTAAACTTCCACTTTGAAATATATGGGGCTGCTATAGAAAGGTGCCCATTCAAGAAACACTTTCAAGAAAGCTAGAGTACCAGATAATTCAGCATCAGGAAAGATGCTAAAACCAAGGAGATTTCTTAAAGCTGTGTTCAAAGCTCTAGAGATCTTAGACTGCACAGACCACATGACTAAGAAATACCATGCAAGGCTAACAAATACCAGTGTGAAAGCAAAATTCTGAGGATCTTATATTTACATCTTTCCCAGAAAGTATGAAAGTATTAAGGCTGGAAAGGGAAGAAAAACAACATTTGTAGGAAAATCTGTTCCCACATAGGAGTCTGTGAGAGGCTCTTTATGTCAGTTCAAGGCTCCAGCCTACTAAAGGATGTATATGGTTTAGAGAAGCGCTTTCCTTCTTTTTATCTTTGATGAAAAAAAAATGCTCAAAGAATGGGATTGAGGCCAGAAAATGGTCAATGTTGGTGTTGTTAGTATTTTTCAAAAGGGAGAGAGAATTTCTCACGGAGAACTTCAACAACCTCATGATCATTGTTGGAAAAAGTTTAAAGAATTAATAAACAAAAGCTGTGAGCATTTAATCATTGTGCCAACCATTTTTCTTTGGGTCAAATTAAACTCCCCTTTCCATTCTTATAGGGACCTAATGCATTTCTCCTTTTGTTGATTATTGGGCTACAGGCCAGGCTCTATCTAGGTGCTAATGGTGAAGAAAGAAAAGGCTCAGTCTTGACCTCACAGCTCACGCGCGAGGGAGGGAGGCATACATACCGGTGGGAACTAGCACAGCACAGAATGGAGAAGCTCCTGCAATGGAAACTTGTACCATCCAGATGTGCACAGGGGAGGGGCTGGTTGTCTGTGCAATCATGTGACCTGAGTTTTAAAGAATTCCTAAGCATCAAGGCTGAGTGCAGTGGCTCATGTCTGTGATCTCACCTACGTGGGAGACAGAAATCAAGAGGACTGAGGTTCTAGGCCACCTCTGGCCAAAAAAGTTAGCAAGACCCCATTTTAACAAACTAGCTAGGTATGAGGGTCTGTGCCTGTCATTCCCAGCTATACAAGAGGCAGAGGTCGGAAGAGCACAGTCCAAGTAAGCCTCAGACAAACACTAAAACCCCAGATGCAAAACAAAGCAAATAATGCAGGTGTAGCTTAAGTTGTAGAGCCCCTGCCTAAAAAGCATGAGGCCCAGTACTACCAAGGGAGGGAAGGAAAGAAGGGAGGGAGGGAAGGAGGGAGAGAGAGAAAGAGGGAAGGAAGGAAGAAGGAATAGGGGTCTTTGTGTGTTCTCTTGCTTGAGCCATCCAGAGTTCTTTTTTGTAAGATTCTCTGACACTGGGACAATCACTGCCTTCCAGACGAGGAAACTTAGGTCCAGGACGCTACATGACCACAGACTGAGTGGAGGGAGACCAAGTCCACACACCCTTCCCAGCCCAGAGCTCCTTTGACTGTGCTACCACCATGGCAGCCTCGGGACCTTTCTAGGTGACCAGGTTTAATGAGGATCATTTGCCACTCACCATTTGTCTGCCCTCCTTCATTTCTTCCAGCCAAGTCCCTGAGTCCAGGGTCTCAACCTCAGTGAGGTTGGTACCAATTTCCCTTCTCTTCCACTCCCACAGAGGAGTCAGCATTTTGCACCTGAGTTCCCCAAACAGGACTTCAGGACTCTGTAACTCAGACCTAGGCTGTGTGTCTTGATGAAGGGTCCAGATTCTCCATTCTCCCCCCAACTTGTTCTAGAGAGCTTGACTCCAGTACCTTTGTACACGCTGACAGTCCCCAGACTACCAGGCAACCTCACAATAACTCAATTGTTTATTAGCAGCGTGAAATTGAGCAAACTTCTTAACTTAGTCAAGCTCCTGTTCCTCCTCCGGAAAAGGGTTCTGTGCTCTACCTGCCTGGAATGTTGGAAAGCTGAATGGGCCACGCGGTCACGCCTGTGGGCCAGGCCCTGTACAATGGTGGGCAGTTGAGAGAAGCTGTGAACATCTGATCTGAACAAGAAAATCTTTGACCTCTCCACATCTGTTCAGATCCTAGCTCTTTTGTGCATGGTGGTAGGGCTTGAACTCAGGGTTTCACTCTTCCTAAGCAAATCCTCTACTACTTAAGCCATGTCTCCAGCCTTTTTGTGCTTTTGTTATGTTTCAGATAGGACTTTGCATTCCCCCCACCCCCCACTCCCATGGGGCCAGCCTGGATTACAATCCTCCAATCTACTCCTCTACCTCGAACCACCTGACCCTGCCACATCATTTGACATATTGCTTAAGATGGGGTCCTGGGCTGACCTTGAACCATGATCCTTTTGACCTCCGCCTCCCTAGTAGTTTATTGGCTGAGATGACTTCTTGCAAACATTTTGCCCAGGCTAGCTTCCCACTGTGATCCTTCTGATCTTTGCCTCTCTAGTAACTGGAATGATAGGCATATGCCACCATACCTGGCCTATTCTTTAAGGCTTTCTTCAGCTTCTGCCTCTTCCAGGAAGTCTTCCTGCCTCCATCCACATTCACTTTTCCTCCTCACTGAACTTTCTCCTCTCACTTACCTGCGTGGCTCATTCATTCAAGGGGTCCCATTGTGCTCTCTACTATTGACAGTAAAGGAACACGTGGGTTTGGTCCTCACTGAATTCTTAGTTGTTTGGGACTAGGAACTGCTACTTCCTTTTTTATGCCGCAGTCCCTCTTATACTTTCTACTTCCTTTTTATACCATGAGCCAAAGATAGAATGATCAGTCAGACTCCAAATGGGATTGAATCTCCAGCAACTTGACATTCTCTCCAGAAGTGAGTGACTCCTGGTCCTGGAGCTTCTGTGCCCACCTCTTCTTCACTTCTTCATTCACGATGAGGAAAGGGACCCTGTGGGGCTTAAATGTTAGAGCACCAAACTGGTAAGCACTAAGTCCTGAGTTCAGATCTCAGCAACACACACACACACACACACACACACACACACACACACACACACACACACAAATAAGAAAAGAATGGGAGAGAAGAAAGAAAAGAGTAAGTCAACATAAAAGGAAAAGAAAGAAAGAGAAAAAAAGAAATGAGAAAAGAAAAAAGAGGAAAGTGCAGTTTAGGTCTCTAGGAAACCCTAGCTTATCCTTTAACATCTGGGAGTATCTCCACTTGGCTTTGTTTATGGCTTTGAAGCCACTTCCATATTCATGATTTAAAATCTAAAAAAACACAAAAAATAAAAAAAACACCCAGCCCTCAGTAACTCAATTCTTTCAAAGAAGTCACTAGAGTAAGGTTTTCTCCCAAGTTTTTGAAAGTCAAATGAACCTGGGCTTCCGAGAATTCCAGATTAGCCAGGCCTGGTTTCCCCTTTTTGACTCCACGCTGCTGCTTTCCATCTAACAAGCCGTTTACTAAATGTTCAGTGAGTCCTCATATCAGACATTGGCTCAGTAAACATTAAACACTTACTCCATGCTAGCAAACTCCAAATGGTCCCTGGTGGCACAGAAATATGACTTTGATGCATGAAGTGGGAAGGAACTTAAATAACACATAGTTTCATTGTTCATCAATGGAGAGCTTGCTCTGAGCACAGATCCAGGTCTAAGTTATGGGTTTGAGTGAGAGAATACGGATGGGAGGTGGGGTGAAGCACCCCGCTAACGTTGGAGAGAACTCCCACTTTCATCAGTACTGAGAAAGCATTTGAATTTCAAAATCATTGAAGGAAATGTTTATTTTTTCCCATTCACATTTTTTTTAAGACACTTAAGCCCATATAGCTTCTCTCTCTTTTTTTAAATGCTCATTTCCTGTATGGACTTCCTGGACTACTGTTGGTGCCTTCAGTCCTTCCAGAAGTTTCTCTATGTTTGTGCAGCCATCGTTTACCATTATAACTTAATCTTAGCATTTCAAGAATGTCAATTGCCCCAGCACCTTGGCCTGTGAGTTTTTTTAAATTAGTGTGAATTTGTTCTTCTTGGTTATGATAAGTCATGAGGTTGGCTTAAAAAAAAATATCTGTGGAAGCTGGGCTCCGGTGGCTCACACCTGTAATCCTAGCTACCTAGGAGGCTGAGATCTGAAGATCGCGGTTCAAAGCCAGCCCGGGCAGGAAAGTTTGTGAGACTCTTATCTCCAATAAACTGCTAGAAAACCAGAAGTGGTGCTGTGGCTCAAGTGGTAGAGTGCTCGCCTTGAGCTGAAGAGCACAAGGACAGCGCCCAAGCCCAGAGTTCAAGCCCCAGGACCGACAAAAAAAAAAAAAAAAAATATGGGTGTGTGTGTGTGTGTGTGTGTGTGTGGAAACTGGGTCTCAGTAGTAATGGTCCTACACAGTGCTTGAACTTACTGTTGGCCTGGAGTTGGGGAAGCTGGGGGGAAGGGGTCATGAGAGACAGGCTGGTATTTAGCCTATGCCTGGTTGGTCCAGTTGGATGGGGACATGGGA